AATTCATAAATGATGTCATTGACCCTGAGGAGACAGAAGGTTGCCATTTGCTCAGGACTAGGAAGAAATAGCAAACTGGATGCTAAAGCCAGACAACCAGCATCTGTACCCAGTACTGGATTAGAACTGGGATCATCACTGACCCTAAAGACACTGGGCACCAGGAGATTGTAGCAAGTGGCCCTCCAGCCCTGGTATGAGCCTGTTTCCCTATTTGGAAAGAACGAGGTTCTAGCGGAGAAGATGTTCTCTGATCCTCACAGTGGATTGAAAGCAAAGATCTTGCATGGTGCCTTGGTTCAGAACAGCAAGTTACCAACACAGAAACACGTTTGCTTCCTCAGGACCTCCTAAGAAAAAATCAACAGTGCGAGTCAGAGCTCTTTGCTGCCATTTTGTCTGTCCAATGACAGAAGTGAGGGCTGAGATGTGGCTCGGTTGGTAGAGCGCTTTCCTGGCACACATGAAGCCCTGGGTTCCACCCCCAGCACTGTATAAAAGAGGAGGGAGGAAGGATGGCCCACAAAAAACAAATGAAAATAAACGAGAGGATTGCTGACTATGAACAGCAGAATTCGGCTTATAAAAAAGACAAATTTTATCAGTTATAAAGGGAAATTGTACTTTTACCCTGAAGTATCCTTCAGACCCCATTTAAACCAAATGCAAGGGACACTTAGATCATGCGCCCCCTGATAAGGGGCAGTGGGAGCCATAAGATAGATCGTTGACAGACATTTATCCTGAGCTTGATCGTGGGGAAGCAGACAAGTGCCGATTATGATCTTCTACAAGACATTCCTGTCGTGAGGGACAGAGGCAGAGATTGTTCTGGGTTTAAGGAGGCCAGAGAGCCCGACAGGCAAACAGAATGCCTGATCCCTGCTTGGATTCTGAATGTAAAAGGAAAACACTGAGGACATGTGGGGACAACTGAGGACTTTGCTCTGTGGACTTTATATTGGAGGACAGTATTGTTTCAAAGTCGAATTTCCATGGCTCTGATCTGGCTGACTCTGGGGTGAGACAGTCATTGTCCTTAGGGATGAGTGCATGCGGATTTTGTCAAATGATGAGGAAAGAGATATGTCCACATGCCACACACGTGTACACATGAATGTATAGGTTTATGAACATACATGCGTCCAGCTGGAGGGCATGCAAGTGCTCCATGTATTAGTCTTTAACTTTCTGGAGTTGGTGTTTTCAAAAATGTTCTAGAGAAATGCGTATTCCATGGCCACAAGTTTCTTTTCCTTCCTTCAGGGGCACTGCTGGTATAGAACAGCCAAGGCATTTCCTCATTTAGGAAAACTCAAGCTGGGGTCCAGAGGGACACAGTCTACAGCCGGGGGCAGCACTCAGAGGTCATGGAGTGGCACAGTCTTTGCCCGTTGAGACTCGCTTCTCGGTTTGTGGCCTCAGGATGCTATCCTAGGGTTGAGGGGTGGGTCTCCAGACCAAAGCTGGTCTCCCTGTCCTTTGTGCTCATGAAACTTCAGATCACTGTCAATCAGGAGTGATCTCGCCTCAGTTCATGTTGGTCCTGACTAAGGCTCTTCCAAACGGCTTTCACTTACCCACAAGGCCAAGTGCAAACCCTGTGGCTGAGTGTGACTCTTAGGCACATGTGAAATTCAGCCACATGTGCTCAGATGTCCTGAGTAGACTCCGGGTCTTTGGTTGTAGACCCCAGATGTCCTTTGACACTCCAGGTCTTCCTATGAACTGTTCCTTGTGCAGGGATCAAACTGACTGGCAAACTCATCCTTCAAGATGCAAGTCAAAGGGCTATCTCAGTTCATGGGGCCGCCCCTGCCTTGGCCTTCTCCCAGTTACTGGGTATCTAGATTTTATGACTGTGTTGCTCCTCCTGCCCACATACATACATAGCTTACATACATTGCTGTTATTGCCAAAGCCCAACAGGACCCAGAGCTGTCCAGAACTGATGTTTGGTAGGTAAATGAATGCTGGACTGGGGAGGCTGAAGCAGGAAGATCTCAAGTTCAAGATCAGTGTGGGCTGTAGAGTGAGTTTAAGACCAGCCTAGGCAATGTATTGAGACCCTGTCTCAAAGTGAAAAGTAAAAATCGGGCTGAGGCTATAACTCAGTGGCACACCGCTTGCCTGTATGAGCTCTGGGTTTCATCCCCAACACTAAAATAAATTAATGTACGTATGGTAGGTGACTAATAATGAGCGAACAATGCCTGCCCTCTCGTGTCAGGCACAGCAGAACTGAGGCACCTTTTGGGGATCAGTTGAGTCTAAATAGGCCTTAGGGGACCTCATGAACTCTGGCAAGAAATTAATATTAAAGAGCAGGATTTCAGAAATGCTTCCCAGAATGTGGCCTGTACCAAAAAAGAAAAAAAAAAAATCTAATAAAATCCTGGGAACTTTACTTTGATTTCTTCCAGAAGCTTTAAAACTTTTCTTCAATTTCTAAGCTACATCTGAATGCCCAGTTGGGTGTGGAAATTGGTCTCAAGTCATCAAAAACATAAGTTGCTTCTTGGATTGCATTAAAGATCTGGTAATTTATTTTAAACTTTTTTTTAAAAGAGAAAATTAAATAGAGGTGAATTTTCATTGACAGAGTAATATATACTAAGCCACGGATTAGCACCTTCATAAAAATTTATCTGAACAAAGTGCCGCCCGTCTTACTTGTTTCTGCCTGAGAAGTCTGCATTGAAAAGGGAAAAGTACTTTCCCGGAATCTATTTGTATCTGTCACAAGCTGCATCTTGAAGAAATTGGCAGGCATTTAAAGTAGAATAATTCCTTCGTGTTCTGTTTGGTTTGGATTTCTTCATTTCGGGGGTGGATGAAAACCAGGAATCAGGAACATTTGCTCCTGTGAAGCGTCTAACATTTCCCCCCTTCTCCCTGTGTAGTAAGTGTTCAATGAATGTTGGCTGCATGAAGCATCGTGTTCATCCTTGTTTGTGGTTCATGGGGTTTCTCTGTCTGGTCCTAAACGTGGGACAATCCTAAGAGTCTCTCAGACGATCTCTGCAAATAGCTGCTGTCCTCTTCCAACTCCCTGGGCACAAAATTGCCACATCCCACCTTCCGAAGAGCGTGTGAGTGTGTGTGTGTGTGTGTGTGTGTGTGTGTGTGTGTGTGTGTCCACAGCACTCCTATGGAGGTCAGATGATTTACAGGAGTTGGTTCTCTCCCATGTGGGACCCAAAATTTGACCTCCCCGGTCATCAGGCAGGGTGGCAAGTACCTGTAGCCACTGAGCTATCTCAAAGGCCCCTCCTTGTTGTTTGAGGCACCATCTCTCATTAACTCTGGAATCCTGATTTTGGAGGACTAGCTGGTCAGTGAGCTCCAGGGATCTGACTGTCTTTCCTTTCCCAGGGCTAGGATTACAGAATTATGTGCCACCACGCTCAGTGCTCAGGATCCGAACTCAGGTCTTCATGCCCGTACAACAAGCCACTTCCACATTCCCTCTCAAACGCTTCTTGGATCACTTTACAGTTTGCAGTATCTGTAGAGTGGGCCAGACTAGCCTCTTATCCCCGGCTCCTGTGTCCTGTGTCTCCTATCCCCCAGCCCCACCCCCTATGTCTTTCCACCAGAAAGTTTGCCCTGACCTGGCCTGTGGAAGTTGACTTCACCCACAGGGCCACCCTCTAGGCAGATCCCACAGCTATTCCGGCCCCCTCTGGAGTGTCTTGTGCCTTGCACTGTATTTGCAAACATGGGAAGGCAGGATAGATCTTTGTGGCACTTTTAGTACCCTTTACAAAAGTGTGAAAACATTCGGTTGCTGTAAAAATCTTTTCAAGAAAATAAGATCCAATTAGCGTTGACTTCTATGTCAGGAAAGCCAGCATTTCAAAGGAATTCCTTCTGCTCGTTCAACAACTAGTTTATAATGCCCGCTCTGTGCCTAGCACCACAGGGCAAAACCAGACACAAAGGCCTGACTTTAGGGCACGCCCACTCTGGCCCGTGTGTTGCTACTGAGGGTGTGCCATAGCACCGTTCAAAGCCGAGAGAGTAAACTCCTAGGCAAAATTACATTTATTTATTTCATTACTTTGTGTGTGTGTGTGTGTGTGTGTGTGTGTGTGTGTGTGCGCGCGCGCACGCGCTCGCGTCTCACGAACATGCCTGCCTGGCAGTTGATTTGTGGTTCGGTTCGGTTCTTCCAACCCTGTGGGTTCCAGGGATTGAACTCGGGTCCTCAGGCTTGGCAACAGTGCCTTTACTTGCTGAGCCATCTCGATGACCCCTTTGTTACTTTTAAAGGTTGAAAATGAGAAGAAATTCAAATTAAGAGCAGAGTCTGGCACTGGACGTCACTGAAGGGTGCGCCGGTCTCAGGCCTGGAGCAGTCAAGGCGGTGGGGTGGCCGCTGGCTCCTCTCAAATGGCTCCGGGGTTAACCCTCATCTTGGAGGACCCCCCTTCATCCTTCAGGAGCCTTCGCCCCCCTCAACACCGCTGCCTGGGGTGCTCGCTTCCCCGAAGGGTGCAGGCTGGCGGGGCGGCTTGCCCACACTGCTGCCAGGTGACCTTTCTGGCAAGGCCTAGGCCGAGGTGCATTCCCCACTGCCGACTGGCCTGGCTCCCCTCTCCCACTCCAGCTCTGTTGGGCAGAGTGGGTTCACGGTGCCCAAGAACCTAGTAGAAAGCGGGGCCAGGCCCTGCGGACAGGCCGGCCGGCCTAGGCCTCGGC